AAAATTATTATAAATAATTTTAATTATTAAATAAAATTGCAGGCAAATTTGCCTGCAAAATGCTTGAAGGGATAGTTTTAGCTTTTCTTTGTTTATATCATGGATTGTTACAACTATCTGATGAACAATTATAAGCAAACCCACATATCAGAAATAAAGAAACTTTTATTCTTCGATCTATACAAAAAGATAGGTATTAGAAGTCAGAATATATATTGGATCAGGTTTGAGTTTTTTTTTATTCATAGATCTAGATTAAAATGTAGAATTTAAAAAAAAATTATTAAAATATCTTCTTATTATTTAGCTTGTACATCAAGCAATCCCAATATTTAAAATATTACATCCTGAATGTATTAGTATTTTTTGCTTTGATTAATCAACAAACCATAATGCTATGGCAGCTGATGCACTTATTACAATGAAAATAAATTTAGGTTCTGAAGGAGCACAGCCTAAGTTGCATAATAGTTGGTATATTAATGAGAATAGTGAGAGATGTGTACAATCGATGATATTTTCAGATAATCATCAATTGAAAAGGCAACCAAAGGGTATTAAGTAAGTACTTAAAGAACGTAACCTTTGGCTAATAAACAGAATTTGCCTAACATTTGAGCAATATTCTGAAAAACATGATGATGTTAATTCAGAAAGATTAGACTATTATGCATGAAGAATAATGTCATTATAATCTGATTTTCAAGAATAACAGTCAATATTAGAAAAGCAATAAATAAAGTAAGACACATTTTTGAATGTTATCTGAAACCAGACAGCTTTGCAGTTATAGTTTTGCAGATTTAATAAAAAGAGTTCCAGAAGTTCTTGTGAGTGTCCCTATATTATCTATTCGTAAGTTTACACACAAGTCATGGAGATACATAGATGCATACAATAAAGGACTGGAAGGTAGAACTGCTGAATGAGCTGTTAATAAATACAAATCACATCATCGATTACCTGATAACATTAAAAGATTAATGAATTAATGGATTAATAAATTGTAATTTTATCACCTCCAATTAATGACAATAATTTTTTTTATCTTTTCATGAATTAGTAATAAAAGTTCGGTATTTGATATGAAATATTATATGCACATATATACGCATATATATATATAACATGTGCATATCAAATAAAAAAGATTTTTTTATTGCACAAAAATTCTCAAGTTTTATTGGCCAATTGTGTATAACGTAATATAAATTCTGCGTCAGAAATTTGAAACATTATAATGTGATTGTTGAGTATAGGTTTTCTGCATCATACTAATTTGGCTAGTGAAGAGAAGGGTTGAGGAAGAGAAAGGAAAGCATTAAATAAACAAAGAGATCCTGAAGGATCAACTTGTAACCAGGTAATTCCCATATAAGATATAAAACTACCTAAATTAGAAAGAGAACTGTCAGTATAAAAGGAGAGGTTAGTTGATTATAAAAATAAGTTTACTAAATTATCTAATTGTATTGCTATATCTGAGGTAAATATATTGGAAAAAACAATGATATTATAGAAAGAAGAGGGTTTTATGTCAAAAGATGGGTCTACAAATACTTTGTAATTAAAAAAAGCTATTTTAAAAATTATGTAAGAGGATAAAAGGCATAAATAATCAATATTACGAGTGGTAATACATGTAAAAATGAACATAAAGGAAGTGCTATTTTGATAAAACATAAATGATTTTTGTTCCTCATATTAGATGGTATTGTTATTAATATGACAAATATTGCATGCAGTGAGAACCGTTTTCTATGAAGTTTCTACTTGAAAGTGAAAATGTTGAATATAGATCATATTGGATTTAATGTTAAGTACTTTGCTAATAATTATTAAGTTAGAAGAGAGATATTAACCAACTGTAAAATGTTTTATATGCATAGGTGATCTAGTCTAAATCATATTATTATGTGGATGTTAAAATTATAATAGAATGTTTCTATTAGAATAATTTATTTTAAAGTTCGATAAACCAGGCTAGTAGTATAGGAAGGATAAGTGTAGCTGAAGAATATTTAAGGTCTGATAATGTAAAAGGGCTAATTCATCAAAGTGGTTATCTAATCAATAAATAAAAGATTCTTCTTTTTCAATTTGTCAGTAAACTTCTTGTATAGTATAAGACTATATATATCTATTAGGAGAATGCGTCCTCTAATAATGGAGTTATCATTCATTTAACTATTTATGATCGTAATTTTGAGGGACTTTAGGTTTAATATAAGAGTAGACTACCAGTTTTTGAATTTGTAAGATGAGTCATAAGATCATGCAACAAGTAAAGATTGTACTAACCATTCATTATTTTGAAGATGTTAGCTGCAAATCAGTACTATAGTTTCAAATAATCCTTTATCATTGATCATCTTAGTAAAGTTAACTACTTTTGCTTGCATTTAGGCAGAAAACAGATGGATTATTTTATAAAATAGCAAAGAGTAGATAATAGCTGATGGGATACTTTTGATCATATTCATTGTTGATCAAAAGATTTTCCTATAGGCAGTGATGTACATTTTTGATATTCCAGAGATTTGTTGTTCCAGCTATATGTCCCAACCTGTCCCACACTATGTTCCAAATATCCTATCTGTCTCATCTATGTCCTATCAGTGTCCTATCAATGTTCCATGACAACACTGCCTGTAGGTGTCCATGATTCTGTCACAAAATTTGTAATTGAGAAAGGTTATAGGGTATAGATTAGTATTACTATGCGCGGTAAAAATCTGATTAAAATAATTCAAAAATAATAAAGCTACAAAATTCAAGAAAGTACATGAAAGTTTAAGGTAATTAAGCGTATGAAGAAGTATAGCTAAGTTTACACAATTATAAGTTTTAGACATATTCTGAAATAATATCTAGAGCTGTTTATTGTCATTGAAAAGGTGATCGTATTTGATGTTATCTAAAATATATATCAGTTTAAAAGTAGAATGAAATGGTAAACTAGCAAAGTTGTGATCTTTGAGGACATTATATTTTGACAAAATGTCTAGGAGATGCTTATTAATTAATTTAACTAATGCATTATGTAGGTATTCTAATAATATAATAGGATGAGTATTATTGAGATTATATTCTCATAGCTTGGGTTTAGAAATCAGATATGCAAAAGTAAGATTCTATCAATCAGGCATACAGGATAGAGTTAGACAGACTTAGACTAGCATCCATAAGATTTTATTCATTTTTAGACCTAAATGTTTAAGCATTTTATTGGAGACTTTGAAGAAATCAGGAACTTTGTCATTTGGTAACGATTTGAGAAGGTTGTACTATTCATCTTTACTTAGTAGTTCTATAAGTGATCATAAATTGAACTGTTTATACCTATGAGAAGTTCGTACTAGGATTTCCATTTATCAGTAAGTTCTATAAATGGTAATATGTACCAGTGGTTTATTGAAAATGTCTATTTGTTTCTCTTTTTACTTCTTCTGTAGATATGAGAAGGCTAAGATCATTCACAGGGTTATCTAAATATCGATCAAGTACTATTATTTGATACTTTCTACCAAGAATAGAGTTAAACATTTTTGATTGGTCATCGTAAAAGTTATCATAATGTCATTTTAGTGCTGCTTTAATTTGCTTGAATTTGTGTTTATCTTCTTCAAGTTTAATGGCTATCATATGAAATTTATTCAAATCTATTAAAATTGATTTTACCTGAATAAGGTCATGTAATATAGAAGAGATTATGATAGGTTAGGATACTTCATATTGTGTGATCAGAAAAGCTAATTTCTGATAATATGTTTTCTAATTATTTGGGATCCAGGATATACGAAGGCTCTTTTTTAGGATGTGTTGTAATTTTTGGATGTGAATTAGTTGTTTATATATATTCTTTAATAAACAGAATTATAGATCTTTAAAGTAAGCTGATAAGTATTGAACTAGAATGCATTTATTAGTAGCTTTGATTATACATCCTTGGATAAGATTCTAAAAGAAGTTTAAGATTTGCTTTGAATGTAGGTTATTAGGAGTAAAGCATAATAATTAACAGCTATTAACAAAAGCGTCCACTCATTTGAAGAAGCTGTTCTAAGATTTGTCATCCATTTGGTTATATATATATGACTTTTTTGTAACTTAGTTTTTAGATTTAGTGGTTACATCAATTTCAGCTATACTAATGTTGGTGAAAATTATTGAATGGTTTGAGATATGAGGGTCAACAAAGGATCCTGAACAATCTATGTATAGGTCAGGTGAAAATTTCAAAATTTACTATAATCAATAAGTAAACTATTTTCAATTCTGCTAAGCAAACTTTTATTATAACTTAAGAAAATTTGACTCTACTAAGCAAACTGTTTTATGACTTATATATATTAAGTAAAATTTGTAGTTTCTTTATATTAAACTCAAAATCAGCATTTAAAAA